TTAGCCTCTTATTTTCTATGTTGCAGGGTAAGCAAGCAGAATTTAGTGGATGGATTCTATATGTACTGAATTTAAAACAAAGAGCTACTTTATTTCCATATGCTCAACAAATTCAAACTATGTTGACTCTAATAAGTGATCATCAAGAACAGAACAAGAGACGGCCTAAAACTGCTTCTTGTGATAAATTTAATGGGTGGAAAAAAATCTTAGAAATAATTTTCAAGGGGCTGGGAGATAGTTCAGTAGATTAAGCCTAAGGGCCTAAATAAAATCTCTGGTTCCGCAAAAAAAAAAAGAAAAAAAAAAAAAAAAAAAAAAAAAAAGAAATAATTTTCAAGGGAGCCAGGGATATACCTCAGCAGTATAAGTGCCTGCCTGGCAAGTACAAGGTCCTGAGTTTGATCTCTGGTAATGAAAAAAAAAAAAAAAATAATAATAATAATAATAATTATTATTATTATTATTATTATTTTCGAGATGAAATCATAAGCTCAAACTCCTAACAAACACAGAAACTAGTAAAACTAAAATTCAAAAAAGAACAAATAAATCTTTCCTCTTTACTGAGGCCTAGTACTTATTATTTCATAGCAAACAGAATTTCAAAGTCTTTAAATATAGAAGATGGCAAGTTATGATTTTACTGCTACGTGATACTATGGTCAGCTGCCCTATGGTGAATCTGTGACTATGTTAAGGTGCTTGATACCTTAAAAACACCTAGAATCATAGACATACCAAGAAGTATTAAAATTCTAAACAGCTTTCAAAAGTAGAGTCCATATTAATTTATCTGCTTACCTAAAATAATACTGGCAATAACGTAATAGCTTCAATCTACCATTAGCACGCTCTGAAGTTATTCTACCTCACAACTTACTAGTCTCGCAAACAATCTCATGAAGGAAGGTTCCTCGGAGCAGGGTTATCTCAGACCGTGGACAAAGGCAAATAGTTGCTCTTTTCTCAGATGCTATCTCAACCTGCTGTCTTCCCTGATTTTAAGAAGCTGTATTTAACTTACACCACTTACACTTTTTCTATTTAAACACAAAAGATCTGCTTCTTCAACTGATTTTAATTTTATTCACACTATATTACAGGTCAGCTAAAGAAAAGTTGATAATGAAACATTAAGATGCATCTACTCTATATAAAATGTTAGAACAAAGCTCACAGTCTCTGTGTATACTGTTGTAGTACAGGTGCACTACTTACATGTTTCTGTATGACTTCTTTCTTTTATGAGGCACTCACTTGGGAAAAGTTAATTGTTAAAATGACTGCCTTACTTTTGAGATGCTACTAGTTACAGAATTATTTTGGCCACATTCAGGCGTGAAGAAAAATTCCATTTTATCTTTATTAAACATCTTACATACTTATTCCAGTGTTGGGCTATCTGCCACTCCACTATCATAAATACTTAAAATAACGAGAAGATCCTAAAATCATTACATAAATGTCAACTTCATTTTCCTTATAAAGCTTATTTACAAACTACTAGATGATATCATCTTTTATATGTTAATCACAGATTGAAATACCTCCATTTTCCTGTCAATACAAAATAGTATAGTTCAAATAAATGAAACTCAAATGCTGCAGAATAACAATAAAACAGCAAAATATCTGAAATTGACTATTTTACAACAGTTAAATAGTACTTCAGTGTGATTTTGAGGGAAATACAGTTTGATATTAAATGTGACAAAGACCTAAAAAATGAACACACATTTAAAAATGAGTAAAGAGTGCTAAGTCCTTTCTTCTATACAGTACTTGATAGGAATACTCTCTGCTCACATGACTATCAAAAAATCTAAGATACTTTTAATATTGTTCTGTCAAATAAAAATTGTACTTATGTATGACAAGATATTTTTGACAAGATTTTTTGAAAGATATATACTCTACAGAAGAGCTTAATTGAGCTAATAATGTAATTACTTAGTATTACTTATCAATTTTTTATGGTATGGATATTTAAAATCTACACAGCCATTTTTAAGATTATAATATGTTATAATGAATCACTGACAACATGTGGTATAATAGATATCTTCAAATATTTCTACTGTCCAATGAAACTTCTATATCCTTTGATTAATATCTTCCCAAAACCCCTATATTTCTGCTATACAAAAATTACTTTTTATACACTGGCATGTACATGCAAATTAAAGTAATATATCACAAGCCCAAAATTAGGGTATCCGTATGCTTGAATATAAGGTAAGGTTTCTAACTTCCTAAAGTGATTTATTAGAAAAGGGAATTGTATTTGAGTCCTTACACATTATCTCACTATAAGATGCTTTTCTTTTTTTTTTTTTTTTTTTTTTTTTTTTTGTATTTTAGGGAAGGGTCTACAGGGTGTTCAGGGTCTCATTACTAGATTGGACTCATAGTGATCTGCCTGTTTATAGCCTCCCAAGAGCTGTGATTACAGGCCCTCAATTGCAGTCTCAGCGTGCCCCAGGGGCGGGGCCGGCTGGCAGGCCTGGGGATCAAACCCTGGGCCCCTGGGCCTCCCTGTAGGCACTTTAATCTACTGAGCTACTTGGCCAGCCCTTGCTTTGCTTAATATTGAAAAAAAAGAAAGCACTCTTGGGGGCAAAAACATTGGCTTAAAAACTAACCTCATTGAAAGCTGGCTTTAGATTTACAGAAATATCCTAATAAGAATTAGAAAACACAAGCAGAATCAATACATTAACCTTAAAATTATTGTATGCTATTATAATTATGCCTTTCTAAAACTGCTTTTAAAAATTGTTCAATACTATTCTTCTCTCAGAAATGATACTAGTCACAGTAGCTAATTCTAGGAAAGTAATTGGGCAGGCAAAAGAAAGACTGAGAGGGTGACCTATTTTTCACTACGTACCCATATATAACATTTTAAACCTTATGAATGTGTTATCTGTAATTTTTTAAAAAGTTAAACAAAAAAGGGTAAATTCTAAAACAGAAACGACACCCTCATAAAATGTTACAAATCAATGAGAAATCAAACATAAGTGATTGCGTTGTAGAAATTATAAATATACAATCTCAAAAGAAGGACTACTGTCTTGTAAACGCATATGTATGAAAAACTTCTGGAACTTAAAAAAGAAATCAAAACACGTCTTGGAAATCAGACTTGGAGAGATGATAGGGGTATCATATGTTGATAAAAACACTGACCATGCACAAAGTTTGGGCAGAATGGTTTTATGAACTATGAGACTACAAAAAAATAATCTTTATATATTATGGCACTTCTTCATAAAATGTAATTAAATCAGTAGATTAAACTTTTAAAATTTCACTCTCTGCTTAGGGGTTTATAATGGGAAACTACCCTACATTTTGGCTTTCCTTACATTCAGGCACCTATATTAACCTCTGTAAGAGAACATGGGAAACTATATCAAGTATATGACCATGAGTCATAAACTTTCTCTCCTCTGTTACAGGTGACCAATTTTGTGAGCAGTTTTGCATTATGATTTATATCAATCAGTACAGTACTTTTTAAGGGTACTAGTTTGAAATTATACAGTAAGGCCCTGACTCATCAACAAGATCTGTTCTAGGAGAATGTTCTGGATTGGTTAAGATCAACACAGTGAGTCTTATATACCTTTGACACAAACATATACCGTAAAGCATAAAACAACCAAAGGTAAAGTTCTTTCATAAACAACCAAAGGTAAAGTTCTTTCATAACTGCAAAAGTTCACAACTCAAATGTACATAAGCAAGAAACTTACTGTACTAGGTCACATGTACTGTCTAAACCTGATAACCATCACCAATCAATGAGTCTCCAAAGGACTATAGCAGCCACCTACCCAAGATGTTACTTTGAAATAATCAAAAGGGTTAAAAGCTGTGCCTACCAAGTTTCAGATACAAAACAAATCAAATCTTAATGGAAGGGAGAACAGATACACACTAAAGACTTTCACTAAAGTATTCAAAATAGCAGTGTATGTTTTTTAACATTTTTTTCAAAAACAAGGGCAACAATGACTACTTAAAACCTAGGAAAGTAAATAACAAAAGCATTCTGCAGGGAAAGTTATTTCTTTTGGCTTTAAAAACTGAAAACCTAAAAATACACTTGCAAAGGCTAAGACTCATTAGAACTGTGGAAAGTACAGTAAATCCTCTTGCAACTCTCAATTCTGCCTTTTTAAATAATGTATACTGTGCATAAATTTTAACATTACGTTGTATTTACAGTCTAAGTATTAAAAGTAAGTGCATATTATTTATCTTTATTTATTCATGTAAAAACTGATAGTAATGTTTTCTAGAAACTCTGGAATGTTCTGTGATGAATGAATATCTGCTAAACAGGTCAGGAGTGAATAAAGATATGTATTTTGTATACAAGGAGTAAGAATTAGATCATACCCTAAGCCTATTTTTTTGTGTGTGTTTTGGGGGGTGGGTTGGTACCAGGGATTGAACTCAGGACTTTGCACTTGCCTAGCAGGCTCTTATGCCACTGAGCTGTCTCCCTGGCCCCCTAAGCCTATTAATATAAAAAATACACAGGAAGTTCTTGCCTTAGTGGATTACTGAACTAACTTAAATCATGCCACCTCTGAAGGAAGTCATTTCCCTACCACATAAGGGACACATGGAAAGGAGAGCAGAATGTATTCAGAGCTATAATTGTTTTCCTAAGCATCAGCACAGGCAGTGACTTTCTAGTATCATTCCAGCATGCAATTTGTGTGTGTGAAAACATACTGAATCTAAAGGAGCTTTCTAAAGACAGTGCTAATACCAAAGGTACTGGGGAAATAATGAAAGAACTGGATGTAAGGTGAAATTGTGGCTAATACTCAAAGCATCTAGTACTGCTATTAGGATATCCTTCATAATAGACTGCTGAACATAACTGACAAAAAATCACTAGCAATCAGGAATAAACCATGCTTACCAAGAGGTGACTCTTTCAACTGAAGTGCCCAATGCACATTCTTAACACTTACCATTTTTCCTTTCATTCAGAGAGGGTAAATGCTGACTGGACTGCAAGGAGAGCTCCTGGAATTCATGAGCCACAGCCTCACTTTGAGGACTTGGAGCAAGATGGGCTAGAGGTCCCAGTTCATCTTCAGTGTCTAGAGCCCCTCCGTGATCCATTGTGTTCCACTAACAAGGAATATGAGACACCTCTTATACTTGGCCTGTTGAAGAGACTGGCAAAACAAAAAAAGTAAATAAATAACACATTATTTTTCTCCAATTTACACAAAATTATTAAGATGAGATCCTTGGGCTCTAGTCCAGTCTTATTGCCCTGGGGCTATTATCAATTCATTTACCCTTTCTGGACCTCAGGCTCCTTGTACATTACACAGCAATAATATACTTACCATCCAAAACAACACTCAAATGGTAAATAAAAGTTGAATGATTTTGTATCAAGAATTAAAGTTACAGTTATTGTTATTAAAGATCTTTTTTTTTTTTTTTTTTTTTTTTTTTCGGAACCAGGGATTGAACTCAGGCCCTTGCGCTTGCCAGGGAAGTGCTTATTCCACTGAGCCATCTCCCCAGCCCCATTATTAAAGATCTTAATGTACTCCTAAATGAGAAGAACATCAACTAAGGTTAGGAAAAAAAAAAAAAAAAAGCAGCTGTCTATCTTGAAAATCCACCTTAACACTCTTATATACATCCATGGCAACCAACAAGGCTTCATATAAAGACTTCTTTATCAACCTGGGTCTAGGAACGAAAACAACAGTATAAAAGAACTTGCAGCTAACCACAATGGACATACATTCATGACAAAGAAAATTTAAGTCTCTGAGATTTAGGGTTGTTTTACCACAGCATAAACTAAACCATGCTGATTGATGAAGAAATTGGTAACAGTAACCCCAAAACACAAAAATTCTAAACATATAAGACACATTTGTGACTGAACAGTACACAATAAGAAAACTGTTATTAGGAGCTTAGAAGATGGTGGTCCATGTCATGTAGTGGCAATAAACCTGGTAAGACTACTGCCTACTTGTTCAGTAGCATTCTATATACAGATTATTGATTCGTTCACCTACTGATAGACAATGGAGTTGTTTGCAATTTTTCAAAGATGCTATGAACATTATTGTATAAGTATTTACTCAGGTATATGCTTTAATTTTTCCTGAGTAAATACTTAGCTGCATACCATCAATGCTATACAGTCAAATATTTAATAAACTGACAAACCATTTTCAGAAGTGGTTGAACTATGTTTCTTTACTGTTGGCTGAGTATGTGAATTCTAGTGTTTCACAACCTGGCAAACACTTCATCTGATCAATCCTTTTTACTTCAGTCATTTTAGTGGGCATACAGTACTTCACTGTGGTTTTAATCTGTATTCCCCTATGGACTAACAACGTTAAAAATCTTTTAATGCATTTACTATCCTTATAGCTTTTTGGTTAAATATCTGATGAAATCTTTTGTTCATCTTTAAAATTCAGTGGTTTCTATCTTATAATTGAGTTTTAAAAGTTTGTTACATATTCTGGACACAAGTGCTTTCTCAGTTTTGTGAAGAACAGATATTTCTGATTGGATAAAGTCCAACCTGTCAATATTTTCTTTCATGGATCACTTCAAAGTCATAAAATTATCTATGTTTTCCTGTAGATACAGATCTATGTTTTTCCTTAAGTTTGCAATACACTTTGAATTAATTTTATGTATGTGGTGAGCCTGCTTTCTGGGGGGATTATGTTCCTTTTGGGGGGATTATGGATACCCAATTGTTACAGAATCATTTACTTAAAAGATTATCTTCCTCTACTATATTGCCCTTGTATCTTACCTGAAAGTTAACTGATCATGTATATGGGGATCCACCTCTTGACTACTTAGCTTCCAAAAAGCCTCAAAGGGGAAGTCATGAAATTCTATGTATAAACTTGCTCTAAGTCTAGTTGAACCCTAAACTATTCTTGTGTAATGTACACTCCAGGTAGACCAATTAAAGTAACCAAGCTGAGATTTCAGGGTTACCCACCACAAGAAAGACAGAATTTGCAAACATGATTTTAGGAAAGTAAACTGCTAAAATAAAACAATATTTTACAGTGGAAATCTAACAAAATCTAGAGTCCCTATAATTGTCATCCAGAATTCTCTATTAAGTGAAAATATCCTTTCATAACTAAGGCAAAACTGTCACCAGCAGACATAGTTAGGAAATGTTACAAAGTACTAATTTGAGCAGAAGGAATATAGTAACATATAGAAACTTAGATCTTAAGAATTTCAAAAAGCATCAGAAATGGTAAACATGTAAATGAGTAATAAAGATTATTTTTTCTTCTTTATTTCTTTAATATTATTCAACATGAAAAGTATAAGGCCAGGGAGATAGCTCAGTGGCATAAGCATCTGTTTGCAAGGTCCTGAGTTTGATCCCTGGTACCAAAAAGTAACACCTTATTGGGGGGGGTTATTATATATGTAGTTATCATATATATGACCACTGTAGTACACAGGGTAAGAAAGGGACAAATGTATCCAGTGCTCTTATATTTCTATACTTTTTTTTTGGCGGAACTGGGTATTGAACTCAGGCCCTTGTGCTTGTCAGGCAAGCACTTATTCTACTGAGCCATCTCCCAGGCCTCTCTATACATTATAGAAACAACATAGTTTTAATTTTAAAAAATCCAGGGGGCCTGCCCCTTAGCTCAGTTCTTTAAGTGGCTGCTTCAACAAAGCTGTCAGGCTCAGGTTGCTGTGGTTCGATCCCTACAACTCAAGCCAGCCAAACCTGCCCTGAAGGCATTCGGAGCAAAAAAAAAAAAAAAATCCAAAATATAGGTTGTATATGGAAATTTATAAAACAAGCACTAAGAATGCCAATAGTTTTAGTGACAACACCAACTGAAAAATTAAAATGACATTCTAGGGCCACCCAAATAGCTCAGTGGACTAAAGTGCCTGCAAGCAGGTGCACGGGCCGGGGGTTTGATCCCTGGGCCTGCTGTGTCAGCCCCGCCCCCAGGGCACACTAAGATGGCAATTTCAGACTAGGCATGGAGGCACGCACCTGTAATCCCAGCTCTTGGGAGGCTACAAAAGGTGGATCACTAGGAGTCCGATCTAGTACCGAGACCCTGAACACCCTGTAGACCCTTCCCTAAAATACAAAAATAAAATAAAATGACATTCTGAGTGTATTCAATTAATGTACTCCCCTAAAAGCAAAGGAAGAGAGGAGAGAAAACAAAGATGTTTTCTGTGACTTATTACAATGTATTATAGTCTTGAGAGCACTGAATCCTAACAAGGCCACAAGGGAAAGTGTATTATAAGCTTGAAAACTGCTAAGTATACATTTTAAACATCCATACCATAAAAGAATTAATAAATAATATTAAGTAATGTATGTTACTAACTATGAAAGCAAGGAGAGCGTGGAATGAAGTGTTTCAAGACCTTCACCCCAAACAAAAACCAAAATTTCCAATATCAATAGATACATCCTACAAAATTCTCTTTAAAAATTGATGAAGAAGTAAAAGTATTTCCATGATAAAGAGCACTTAAGGAAATTCATGACCACCAAATCAGTATACAGATACTGAAAAAGGAAAGGAGACAGGTGGATCCATGGGACTGAGGAACGACCTAAAGGCATCAGAGCCTACAAAGGAACTGGACAGACAGAGCACAACACAGAAAAATGAAGGGCAACCTGCACTTTCTCCCAGGCTCCTGGCTTGTGGCATAATAAAGAAGGGTCAAATCTAGAGAGACAATGGATGCACGAACTCCACAAACCTCCAGGAAGAAACTTAACAATAGAACTAGCATATTGGTATTGCTGACTGTGCTACTTTAGCCAAAGAGACATAGTTGCTGTGATCACTTGATCTTCCTCGTATGCCAACATAATAATACCTTGGTTCCCAAACACTTCTGTTCAAAACAATACGGTTATCAAACAAAAGCATTCTGTAAAATTTCGCTTCTGATCACAAACTCCACAACAGATGACAAACACAATCAGGGCCACTTTCCTCACACAAACATAAATGTGGTTATCTTCCTAAAGATTAGAAAACAAATTAAGTTTCTGAATGAAGGTACTACTTACCTAGATTATCTGGAAACACAAATAGTACTTCAGACAAGTAGCAAGTAACTAGGTGCTAGACCAAACAGGCTGCTATCTCTCTGCTATCTCACAATAAACAGAAGAGGTAGGCTCTTGAGAGACTCAAGGACTAAAAGCCAGCTACACATAGATGACACCTCTGAAAAATAGTCATTCCCTACAGAGGTCTTGGTTATTGTAGTGCAACAGCCAGCAAAAACACAAAAACACCACCTAGGATTTAGAGGCAGATTTACTTTAATGGGCACTGATCAGGATCATTACCAAAGGGGAAGTACAGAGGTGGAGTACATGATTGTCTTTAGTTCTTACAATATGCATCATAGTGATCAGCTATGTATTACAGTGACCAGCCATTTGTAGGAGACAGAAGCAACTGGAATTGCTGCAGGAACTATTACCTGGGCAACTAAGAGACTGAAGTATACTGGCTAAACAACCTATTTTCTGTTAAAACTTCCTACCTCTTTTAGTTTCTCTGGCAAATCTTTGCTGGGAATACTACACATTAACTTCTGAGTCAAGGCCCATCTAGAAGCAGTAACATTAGGATTGTCACTGAACCTAGAATGGGCCCTAGCTAAGGTCCCCAGCATTGCCTTATTATAGTTTTCTCCCCTAAATTGCTTTTAGGAAGAGATGTAATGTAGGCCTATCTGTTCTATTACATTACTCTGGCATAGTAGTAAGGGAGCTAATCTAATTTAGGGGAGTGTCTAATGTGCCTTAGACACTCATCAAATCTTCATCATGTGTTTTATTATTCTATTCTCTTGGTCCAACTGTCCATAGAGGTAAGTCAAAACAAAACAAAACCCAAAAACACACAGCAGGGGCAGGGAAGCAAGTACTAGCATAAGCAGTATGAAAAAGACACAAAACTCAATGCAAATAGATACGAAGCAATCTTGTGAAAAGTGTTCTCAGGCTTCTGCCATGTGTGGACTGGTCAGTGTCCAGAATGACCAGAGCAGGGCTTTCAGAATGTCCTCTCTTTAGAGTGAGCAGTCTGGTCCAGATAAATTCTCCAGAGGATCTAAAGCTGGATTTCTGAAACTTGTA